GCGACTGTTTTAGTGCTTTATCCACCATACCGCACCACGTTATTATCGGCAATCGAGATACACACGCATTTGCATCGAACGTGATCCTAATCCGATTTCGCGTGCCGCATAATAAACCGTGCCACTTGTGTTTCGTCGCTTCCCCAAATCCCTAGACGACCATTTTTCCAACAGTTTTCGAACTACGCCTCGCACAAACTGCTCACGATTCGGTAAAATCAGCGTCGAAAATCGACAATTCGACAGAAGCTCTGAGATTTTCGAGTATTTCAACAAGAATGCAAAATATTCAAGTATGTGTATATTATTTCATTCATGGATTGCGGAATATCCCAAATCTATTATGAATCAATTTATTCACAGATTCTTCAGTGAAATTTAAAAAATTCATTTTTCATTAATAAAAATATTGAAAATATTAAGTTATGAGTAATGGAAAGTAGATAATCCTTTTTTATATCACTGAATTTAGTAATCTTTCAATTTTTATTAAGGAAAAATATAGAAAAAAATAGTTCAAGTTTCTGCACAAAAATATTTTGTTACAATATCTAAAAATTTTACTACGTATTCATTTGAAAATTTTTTTGTTGGACCATCAAATCATTATATAGGAAACTCAAGCATGATGAACAATATTGCAACAAATTTTGATATTCTAGTAATCAGCTGAAGCGCGTCTTACATAATTATTTTGATAGTTCAGTAAAATTATTTTCAGACCTGTATCGAGCTAATCTTTTTGAATACTTCAGCAAAATCATCGTTTCCGTGTGGAACATTCTACATATTAAAATTATAAATAAAATGAAATAAAAAAACATGAATAATAATACTGAAAGGAAGTACAATGCAATTCATTTCCATATTATATGAAAGTATAAGGAAGAAAACATAGGCAGCAGAAGATATGGAAAATGCAAAAAATATCCTATGTATTTCCATTTATTTTGCATTTCTACATCTCGTTAAATTAATTGCAAATATAGGGTGATAAAAAAATTACATATTTTAAAAGCAGGTAATATTTATCAAAACAAAAAAAAAGGTTTAGTAAACATAGATCCTAAAACAAATATTAAGAAGACGGACTTTTATTGTCTTTAATTGTCTATTAAAATATGGGTTTTTATTGTCACCGTAAGAAATGCTCTACAACCTTCAGTTCGCCTCTGCGAATCGAAACTGCGGATCGAAGTGTTCCTTAAAGGCAACTAATATGATTCATGCACAATAAGGCACTATCCTATTTTCTACGCATCGTCCGATAATATCTAACTCAGACATTTAATGGACAGTGAATTTAGAGGTTCAGTAGTTTGACTTGTCAAATCTCCTGATTTTGAACCTTGATCGCTTAGATTTTTAGCTGTGGATACACTTAAAGAGTTTAGTATATTTAATACCTATCGATGATGTATAAACTCTGCAGGAATGTGTATTCAATGCATATCTATCAGGAAATCTGAGAGCAGCTAAATGTATTCGTAAAAGTGCGTGATTCTCTACAACACGTAGGGATGTATGACAATGAATAGGAACTATATAAAGCACTTCTTATAGTGATGATAAAAACTGGCTCATTAGTATTTGTTTTATAACCTAAGTTTCTTAGTTTTTCAGTGTTGTTTTAATGAATACTACCTGCTCTTAAAATATATAAACCTTTCTTTAATCAATCTATATATTAGTAGAAGATTAACGTAACACTCGTTGAAAATCGTATTTTCCACACGTATTTGTTTTCCACTTTCAGAATCCTTGACGTATCCTGACCTCATTTACAATAAGAGAGACGACTGTAGCGATTTTCTACGTTAGAAGTTAGATGTGAAGGAAAGTTCGTTCGAGTCGTCGCTGTTGCCTCGGGTATGCAAGATAAATTGAAAAAAGATGGCGAGATAGGTAGAAAAATCAGATAGGGGAAAAGAGAAATGTATGGACTATTGGCAGACTTTAATCCGCCTTGTCTAGGACAATTCGTGCAATTAAGTTCGTACAACGCCGCGAGCATTCCTATAAGAACATGGCAAGCTTATTTTCTTGAAGGAATAAATTAATTATTTCTTCAATCTGTATTAATGTCTCATATTTAGCGCTAAATATGACCATTTGTGACACACACGGATTTATATAATAATTTCAAATGCTATATCTTTATGTCAAGATATTAATTATTTTTTCTTAGTAAAACATAACAAAATAATTCGTATTGTAAACACAACCAATCCATGAAACATAATGTCCTCGTCTTATTTAATAATATTAAGTAAAATATTGCATAAAATTGTAAAAATGTCTTATGCAATATTTTGACTTCTTATAAAGATATTTGTGTGAATTCTGCAGTGAGACAGATAAATCGGTATCGGTAGGCATGAATATGTATGCAAGCGAATGAAGTACTTTGGCAGAACTGCACTATATATCTCGTTTCATGCTAAACGTAATTGTAGTTTACAAGGTAGAGTTTCGTCCGGAACATGAGTTTGCCACTATTTAATTACAAGCACGGACCATTATTAATTAATCACTCTTCTACTTGCACAATCGAGCATTATATTGTAATAACTAGTAATTAGAGACACTTGATATAGGCATAATTGTCGACTCCATTATGGTCTGCAATAATGTCTTTCAATATATATTCCCCGTAATTATGCATTTGCCGATTGTCAGCGGATTATTATTCTTATTATGCCGATATCGGAAAAACTGTGATGTATTGTACTGTAATATATTACTATCATATCTCGCTGTATCGCCGCGAATAATATAGGTACATGTTTCGTCATTAAATCACATTTGCTACTTGTGGCAACTAATAAATCCTCATTTACCGGGATATTTTCTCATTCGCGTGCTTGAGAATATATCACGCATTCTTGTTTGAAATCGCATTCCTCTCACTTCAATTGGCTTAATCACTATATCGCTAAGATATATATACGATACATATATGTATATCCCAGTGAGAAATGACAATGGAATCAATGTCGAATCGACGATTCGATGTCAATTTGATGATTTCGACGTCGAATCGATATCGATTCGATGTCGATTCCATTGTCATCTCTCACTGGGATACACATAAAAAACAATCTCATAAAGCTTATAAATCAGTACATAATAGCTTAATAGCATTGTGATTTAGAACGTATAACAAAAAATATATACGTTATTCTAATAGCAAATTGTGGCGTAAGATCCATCGAATAGAAGAAAAGAGAAATGATTGCTCTAATTGACTTTATGATGATATGAATTTATATCTGCTATAGAACGACCGATCAACCGCGCTTCCTTTGGACGCTAAATAAGTAGCTAAGAATAACTTGCACTGATCTACTGACTGCAATGACAAAATCTAAATCACTCACTATAATCTCTCGCTATATCTGTTGCTATAAAAAACTTTCTAGAAAAAAAAAATCATCGTCACTTAAGTCAAAATAAAAAAATTAGTATCATATGAAATACAATTCTGTCTATAAATTATGATAATCATTCTATAATTTATACATTGTATAATTTATTATTTCTATAATTCATTCTATAACTTATATATTTTGTAATTTTAAATAAAATAATTAATAAAATAATAAATTTAATTATCTATAAACCTTCTTCAAGTTTCCTTATAGATATGAAATCTATATCACTTTTCAGAGTACATCATATATATAGTAATTATTAGTAGAATACATAATATATAGTATATATATGTCGGAAATTGAAAGAAATCCTCGTCCTAATATCACTGATTTATTTTATGTTTGTATTTTCCGCATATTACGTCATTCATATCATCACAAAAATCATGAACGATGATTAATACACATATCTTCTCCAAGTACCTTAAAATCCCGCGATTCCTCAACATCGCGTGATATTTCGCGTGTCGAGAAACGAAGAAAATCGCCAGTTGAGTTTGGTCGAAATTACCAGTGATTCTTCGGTCAATTCGGCTGATGGATCTACGAAAAGCAAGAGAAAGAGAGGAAAAGAGAAACAGAGAGAAACGTGACGTCGGTTGGCGGAAGTCAATTGGCGCGTCATGCACACGCGAGAGTTGATTCTAGCGAGCGGCCTTCTCCTTCGCCACGGTATTAAGTTTAGCCACTTCGGTCTGATGCGGGCAGTGTGTCAAGATCACTCGATCCGCTGTTGATATCGACCTTTCTCTATCTCGCCGTTCTTCTCCTTTTCTCGCTTTGCTGAGAGAAGAGTGCTCCAAGTGTCGCTCGCAAAGTAACGGCAGATTCGTGTGTAGAAAGAGCTGGAGCGAGAATCAAAGAGACGAGAGGGCTAGTTCGAGAGTTGCACGGTAGGCAGGCAGGCAGGCTGTCTTGTGTCTGCTTTCATCTTTCTCGGTAAAGCGACATCCTTTGAAAGATGCCGGAGTAGCTCGCGGACGGAGTGACGAGAGAGATGGTGGTCTGAGATTCAAAGTCAGGGAGACTGGAGAGCCGAGCTAGCTTTCCCTTTAGGTAATAAGAAGATTCGCGTGTTAGATGGTTGTTACAGTGAATACGTTATTCTTCGCGGTATATTCTGAGTGGTACTGCTTGGAGCGCATTGGTTTGCATGCTTGCGTTTGAATGATATATAGGTAAGTCTTTGAAATTCGTCTTCAATTGCAGCTTATTTTACGAAAAAAAATCTGTTTCCTGAAAGATAATATCGCATACACATATCAAGAGAAAGACTTTATTTTCACGTTAAAATATCAGTACCTACTTCAGCTTTTATTGTTAGATAACTGTACCATAACTGTAAATGTAAAACAGTGCTTTGGTGCTTATTAGCTTTTCTCCTTTCATATACTATTACAATTTTATGTCAAAGAACTTTAACTAAAAAACTCAAAAAAAAAATGCGATGAACTCAGACGTATCAAAGAATTAAGAGATTAAGGATTCCACTATGTAACGTAAATCAGAATGCTGTGAAGAGCTTGACTGAGGTTGAATAACGAGGGAACACCCGTTTGATTGCAGGAGGATGCAACCACGGGTGACAGTGGTTCTGGCCACGGTCTGGCTGACGGTGGCGGTTCTGGTAGGAGGAGCAGTCACCCTCCGCCTCTCTCACGATCAATACTCCCCCGTGTCTCCACGCCGACACACTAGGGTTCAACGGGACCGTACTGGAGTCTGGAGGGATCACGATCCAGCCGAGGATCAACATCTCGATCTTTGGATCGGCTCGCGAAGGTCGATCTCTACGGAGGGTATGTCAGATTTTACAGTACTATGTTAAGCTGAGCAAAATAAAGCATCATATTGTATTTCACTGTCAATCCAAGAGCTGATGTCTAATACGAGTTTGTCATTTTGAGAATATATCAGAAAGAGCCTAGTATAAATCTTTCTGATTTCTTTCTCTCCCTCTACATACAAAGAAATATGTAGAAAAGATGTAAGGACGTTATGATTTTAAATGTTAATTTTATTTTATAATATTTAATATTTAATATTTTGATATTTTTATTTAATATTCTTAGGAAACACACACAAAAAGAGCAAGTATATAGAAATGTATACTGCTCTGTTTTGACTCAAATTACGATTTAATTCTGTCGCGCTGTCTAATGAAGATGGAAAAACAAACTTGCTTCGTGACGAAACGTACCACTCGGTCTAACTGATAGAAATCCGTTTGCTCCAACTTTATGATCAATCAAGGTCTCCTTGCTCATCGTCTTTGTGCAATTCCAATATCAAATAAATACCGTTCACGATTGTTAAAAGTTTGAAAATTTTCAGCATGCGTTCAATTTCAAATATAGTTATTTTCATTTCTCGTGTTAAGTTGATAAGAAGATAATATTATATTAATATTCGAAATATAAAAATCTGAAGACTTATGTTAATACATTGTGTTGTCAATACAATAATAATTACATGGCAGTATTGTGTTCTTTATTAATTTTTGAAATTAAAAAATAGTTAAAAAACTAATAGAATATTTTACTAATAAAATATTTTACTAATAAAATTAATGAAGATATATCTATGCAAAAATATTACACAAAAATTGTTAATTTTTTTACACAAATTAATGTGAAAAAAAATTTTAGGGCGAAAGCTATTTAAGAGAATAATGGATGATCTATATTTTTCGAGTAATATACACACACATAAATCTTTATATTATAACAGCACGCAAGAATTTCGGAGAAATAAATTGGCGTCGAGCATTACTCACGTCACTATAGTATGCAACTATATTACTTTAGCCAAGTATGAAATCGTTATATTGAATATCTTTTAAAAAGACTCTCGCCCGTAGATTAAATCTCTTAATTAAACTGGTAATTTAAGCTGCGTATTAATGTATGCAAAAATAGTTAAAATTAATTTTCTGAGTATATCTAATTTCTGACATTAAAAAAATCTAATTACATTTTCCAGAATCAGGAGCTCTATCTCGCAATGTCAAATATACCGAGCGAGATTTTCAGCTTGAAAGTCTCTTGAAGGACATCGTCTCGTCAAAGCGAATGTACCCCTTTTCAAGCTGGCAGAGGCGGTTGCCGAATATCGCTGGCGCGGAATTCGCGTCCGACAAAGTCGATTACGGCTACGAGATGCCGGAAACGCTTTCGCGCGAAGCGAAGGTATCCTCTTCAGACCTTTTAGACGATCCCTTTGTGGCAGACGACACGTTCCAGGATCAAGGCCCAGGATCGATGGAAATATACAAACTAGACCTATCTAAAGAGAAGACTCTACTGACCGCAACCACGCCCTCCACAAATTTACTGTCGAGAAATAAGAGCAAAGCTCTGAAAAAAACGGGCCATTTGAATTCAAAAACAAAGACAATAGAAATCAAGTCGACAACAAGTGCGAACATTAATCACAGACAACCAAATTTTTTTGAAGAACAACGAACCGAGACTCCTTTGATCAACAAAGACGCCTTCGATGTTGGTTTCGTGCCGGAGCTACAGGTTGGATGCGAAGGTCTCGAAGCGTCGTTGTCGTCCCACAAGACGAAAAGATCGATAGATACGCCCGACAAGGAGAAGGGCGAGGTGCCAGCTCCGTCTGTGTTGCTAAACGTGTCGCCGGTATCCTTGGATCTCGACGACGTTCTATCATACGATGAAGAAGAATATGAGGAAATGGATGAGCTTCTTAAACTCAAGAGACTGGAGACTACCACGAAAAGAAACAAGCCAAATAGGGGAGATATGGATGCCAGCCATCTTAATTCTGACCATCTGGATGAGTTTAGGCGATCAGAGAAGTTACCAGAACGAGGAGATTTGGGTGGATCCATCCCAATAAATTCTAGTGAATTAATAACTAGCCAGAAAACCAAGCGATCTCTAACAGATCTCGAAATTAAGAACTACGAGGAAGCCAAATCAAAGCGAGAAACCGTTTCATTGGATGGTGCCAGCAGGAGTCATGGTCGGCAGTTGCTGTGGTTTGCCGAAGCAAATACTGAGGGATTTGCGGACGGTAGAAGCGAACGGAAGCGCACGAGACGGTCGATCGATTGGGGCTTCGGTGAGGATGAAGGTGTCGTGTCCAGCAACGAGTTGCAGACCGTGAATGAACGTCGCAGGCAGCACGAGATGCGATACCATCAAGACACATCTAGAAGACGTGACCGGCATCATGGATTAAATACTGACATTGATAATGTTACACAAGAGTACGAGAAATTACTTGAGCAAAAACGAAGAGAAGAAGAATATTTGCGACGAATGCAACAGGCTAATCAAAGATTGCCGAATAAACGGGAGGAGGAAGAGAAAAAGAAAAGAGACGAGTTACGAAGAAGACAATACGAAGAGTATCGTAAAAGGATGGATGTTACAACACATCGTATGGATAACGAAGATATGCGACGGCAGATAGAAGAAAGACGAAAGCAAGAAGCAGCGCAAATGCAGGAGATAGTCAGAAGAAACGAGGAAGAGCTAAGAAGACGAGAGGAAGAAAAACGAAGATTACAAGAAGAAGAAATTAAAAGAAAACCACAGAGCAAATGGCAAGAGGAAAATTTAAAAAAATCGGACTCTAAAACTTCTGTAAGAGATGATGAAAGGAAACAAAGACTTTATGATGAAGAAATAAAGAGACGAGAGGAAGAACGGCGAAGACGATTAGAAGAAGAAGAAAAAGAAGCAAGGAGACAGGAGCAATACAGATCGCAACAAGAAGCTCAAAGAAAAAGAGAAGAAGAGACGAGACGTCAAGATTCAATGAGAAATCTTTCCGAAAATGATAGAAGAAGACTAGAAGACCGTCGCAGAGAATGGTCAGAGAAGAAGAGGCAAGAGGATGAAGATGAGAGAAGACGACAGCAATCATCGAATTTAATGCACGCGGAACATTCAGTCAGTCATCCGAACGATATCAGACAGCGCGATCGAGACGAGAAAAGACGACAGCAAGAAGAAAGGCAGCGAGAACAGAAATTGCGAGAATATATCACACGTCGACACTATAGACCCGAAGAGCACCGAGATCTGCGGATGAATGTAAGTGGAAACGACGAAGAGTACCATCGACGACTGGAGGAGCAGCGTAAAAGACAGGAGGAAGAGAGAAAACTACAGGATTACATCAGGAGGAACCAACCAGTGAATGTGCCATCGAGAGATAATCAATCGACCATAGCCGGTCGTAACTGGTTCGAGGAGCGAAGACTGATCGAGGAAGCCAGGCGTCGCGACAGATATCCCGATCCAGGAGTGAGGAGAGACCACGGACCGTCGGCGCCTACGTATATCGATCCGCAAAGCTCACCAGAGGAAGTCAGACGAAGGCAGCAAGAGAGGAGAAGGTTGGAGGAGGAGGAAAGGCGGCAGAGGTACGAGGTGGAAGAGCGACGGAAGGAATTCGCCAGGCGAAAGTGGGAGGAGGAAGAAGAGAGACGGTTACACCAGCAACGGATGCGAGAGGAGGCGGCCAGGCGAGAAGAGGAAGCGAGGAGAGAGCAATCTAGAAGGTACGAGGAGAACAGGAAGCAGATGGAGGTAGCGAGGATACAGGCCGAGAGAAGGAGGCAGGAGATGTTGAAGCAACGATCCAGGAACGAAATTGGTAGGATGAAACAACCAGAAACCAGGCCGATCTACCACCAGGATCCTCGTCATTTCGTAGAGCACAGAAGACGACAGGATAGCCGGCCCATTCCGAGTAATTTGATGCGAGCCGAAGAAGCCAGGCGAGCGGCGGCAGAGCGCGAAAGGCAAAGATTGGAAGCCGAGAGACGACAACAGGAAGAGAGCAGGTATGTAAGTGGTCCTTAGGGCACGTGCTTTGCAAAAATGAAGTTTTCACTTGGCGCGACGCCAGTGAACTTTATTTGAGCTGATGCGCTTCGCAGCTTTCAATGTTCGTTACTACTATCATTTGTCTCTGTTCGTTTCTTTTTGTTTTATTCCTTTACCGCTGGGGACTAATATTACTTCCAAGTGTATAGGTATAATAGGTATTATTGCAATAAAATTGAAATCGCTTAGAAGTATATTTCAGGTAATGAGAATATAAAATAGCAATAAAAAATATAAATTGATATATCCCTCATATGTTTCTTTTTTATTTTTATTTTACTTTATATTTGTATTGATACTTAATACTACTAATTACTTCATCAGTTGAAAGATATTATCGCCTTTCTTATGAAAGAGTAATAAAATAATATTCCAACAGGTTCGATTCGATTTTGCTGATTTGATCCTGCTAGCTTAATATAGATTTTCTTGTAGTTTAATGCAATAAATTTCGCTTGTGCTATATGAGATATTTTTCTAGTTAGGTTGATTTATTATACGATATTTTTCTAGTCACGTGAAATTTTAAATATCAACAATCGCGATATATTAAAGTCTGTGAAGAGTACAACTTTAATTAAAGAAACATTCTGAGCGTATCATCAAGGCAAGAGTTTATTCATTCGAATCATCCGATAAATACGATCCTATTTCCATCTGCTGTAGAATGAGAGAGCACAGACAGAAGGAGACTGATCAGTGGAGACGACAAGAACTAGCCAGACTAAACTCTCTGCCGGTGAGCGCAAGAATAATAGTCCGTCCTGGTGACTCCTCGCCGACGTCGCCCATCTCGCCATCAGTGATATCAAGGGACGGTTTCAACAACGAGATCGATTTTACAGTAAGTCCTCCATTTGTCTGTCAAAATACTTCACCGCACTCCGATCGCGTAAACCCGATTCGGTTGTCCACCGGCGCGGCGGTTTATTCACTGACGAATTCGATCTGGTGGTCGCCGATTGTCTCGCGTTACCAAACTAAAGCGCGCTTCATTAAATCAGGGAGAAGTTGCGGCGGGTTCGTGCCCCTTCGACCTCAACAAGCTTCACTTCGGTCGCCCTGTTTTGTTCCGCTTAATTAATTGACCGAACGCTGAGCATCTCTCTTTAGCACTTTTTTGCAATATTTTCTCCGAAAATTGCGATGATCAATTTTAGAAAAAATAAAAAGAATACAAATATGTGCTAAATGTAACAAGACATTATTATTTTTGCAATTTGCATTATGCATGACACAAACAGATATATATATATATTTTTCTTTATGTCACATATATATTTTTCACTATAAATATTTACTTTATTTCACTATAAATATGTCACTATAAATATTTTTATTGTAATTAATAATTAATAATTAGAATTAGATGTATTCAGAATTCAATGATGATATTTTCAGGGAATCAATCCGCATCGCCAAGGTGTACAAGTGGCACAATTTCCTGTCCCCCCGACTCCGAGACCACCTGCCCAAAGTCCTGCCCCATGTGTTTGGGCAGTTGTTCACTGTTGTTCATCCAATAACAATCGTCTCGTAAAGTGTTTCGAATCATTGGGCTGCCCCGGGATTAATTGGGATCCTAACCCGTGTAGAGGGCCTATCGCGAACGCTGCCAGAGCAGAAGTCCTGAAGTTCTATGCCAATTCGTAAAACTAATAACATCAATAAGATTCAGCCTTTACTTTTGGAGAGACGATATCAACTAGACAGGAAAAAAGAGGGAAAGACTCTCTTCAACACCTATAGAAATATCTCTCTTTCTCTTTCTCTCTCACACACACACACACACGCGAAAAGTTTCAAGTTACTGTACTTCAAATCAATTTGTGCATGTGTGACTTCTACTGGATCTATACAAATATTTGTGTCACTGGATAGAAGAGCTCAGTAAGTTGACTTAGATATTTGCGGAACGAAAGACCTTGATATATATTTTTACTTGTTACAATATTAGTAATTTTAATAAATCAAAATTAAGTAAAAAGCTATTATAAATAAATATTTCAGCTTTATAAAAATACAATATTTTTACGATAAAATTCAATGAAAAATAAAAAAAATATTAAATTGAATTTAATATACAGGGTCATCGAAAAGTATCGGACTCCCCTAATATCTTCAGTTAGAATGCATTTTGGAGAAAATGTCCAATAGCAAAGTTGTATGGTTTCAAGCGAGGAGTAAGATGATGACCTTGACTTTGATCTTGACCATGTCCTTTAAGGTCATTTCAAGGTCAACCTTATTTTTTTAAATGGAACCCCCTACATTTTATTGCATATTTTTATAGCTTATCTCGAGAGTTTTCCAAAACACTATAATA